GTTAGCCAGGATGGTTTTGATCTCCTGACCTCATGATCCACCCGTCTCGGCCTCCCAAAGTGCTGGGATTACAGGCTTGAGCCACCGCGCCCGGCCTGCAGTAAGTATTGATTAGGAAAACTACAGTCTGTCTCTACTGCCTTCTTAAGCCCTATGTTGTGGACATGTTAGAAACTTTGAGATGCTTTGCAGTAACAGACGCTGTTTAACTTTATTTAAACTATCATATCCCAACTGGAGGACATCAAAGAACCATGGTTTACTATGAAACTCCTAGTTACAGCCCACACAGCTGTTTTAAGGTACACATTCTGAGGAATTCTCTTTTAAGGATATCAAAGGACTTTACTAGATCTCATGTGTAACTATAGGATGGTAATATCACTGAGGTAGGGAATACCAAAGGGAAACTATAGGGAGAAAAGAAATTGATGAGTTTAGTTTTGCATGTATTGAGTATTGAAATGCCACTGAAGAATTCCAGTAGAGATATCAAGCAAACAACTGAATATGTAAGAGTGAAGCTAAAATAAGATAAATAAGCTAGAAATATTAATTTGTAAGTAATCTACATAAGGACTGCTATTGAAGCCATTGGCTTGAATGACATCACCTAAAAGTGAATACAAGATGAAAACAAGAGATGGCTGAGCACTGCATCTTTAGAAAATCACAAGTAGAAAACAATCAGTTTATAAAGGAAATAGAGAATGGATACCCAGAATTAGGAGGAAGTAAAACATTTACTCATTCAACAAATATTTATTGAATGCTTTTCAGATGTAAGGTACTGATTTGTGTTAAAATTACAGTTGTAAAAACTTTGAGTAAAGTCTCTTATGAGATTATATTCTAGTTGAAGAGGGGTAGATAGGAGGACAGGAGAGTGGAAGCAGATAATGACAAGCAAACAAACCAAAGAATAAGGTCTTCTCCTACTACAGGGATTTCAATCATTAAAAAAAAAAAAAAAAAAAAAAGAAAAGAAAAAGAAAAATAGAAAGAATAATAGCAGAGGAATGTTCTGGTAAAGAGAATGAAAACACTTCAAATAAAAGAAAGTAATCGTCATTTACGACAGCTGCGTTAGATAAAAAATTAGAAGGCTTTACAAATAGGATTTTTTGGACATAAGGAAATGGATTTTGTTGATGACCTTACCAAAAACACTGGAAAAACTTCCTTTACTCCTTCTTCTGGCAATATAACCCTTTTCTAAATGGAAATTGTCCTGACCGAGCAGCAATAGGGTGGACACTTCACCCACATCTGGTCCAAATATTAGTACCATAGAATCCAGGCTGAGTAATGGATTTGGTGATGGGCTTCATTCAAAATTGTGGCAAACAGAATCCCAGATAGTGCTTTCCTGACCAAACTTTGGGAAGGACTCTTTCTACTAGGGTTACTCTGGCAGAGTAACCTAGGCATTATGGTAGCAATTTTCCCTACTCTAATGAAGAGTGTACCCACATAATTTATGTTCACCTGGTATCTCTATGACCTTATTTGGAACGAAGGCCTTTGCAAATGTAATTAACTAGAGATCTTGGGATAAAATAATCCTGAATTTAGGATGGGCCCTAAATACAAGAACTGGTATCCTTATAAGAAGAGGAGAGGCCACACAAAGATACACAGAAAAGAAGGCCATGTTGAAATGGGGTAGAAATTGGAGTAAGGTGAGGAGTCAATGAAAACCCAGGATTGTCAGAAGCTATAAGAAAATCGGAAGAGGCAAGGAATGGTTTCTGCTTAGAGCTCACAGAGGGCACAAGGCCCTGCTGACACCTTAATTTTGGACTTCTGGACTTTAGAATTGCAAAAGAATAAATTCTTATCGTGTTAAGCTAGCCAGCTTATGATACTTTGTTATGAAAGCTCTAGAAAAATAATATACCTACCTTGAAGAGAAAACTTGAAGATAGAATAAAGGCAAGAAGTAACATTTGCATGGGAAAAAAGCTTTGAATAGATTCATAAAATTTATATATCTCTGGATCCAGAAGTGCTTACATTACTCCTAGACTTGGAGTTAATCAACAAATTTCCCTTGTTCCTATGCTAATTTGAGTTGAGTTTTTGTCTAGAGCCAAGGAAGGCAATAGTACAATCTCTTGTGTTAAAAAGATTCTATAGAGAAAACTTACCTTCACAAACAGGAACTTTTCCAGTCCAGGTGTTATCGGATCTACACACTCTATGTTCTGTTCCACCTGCTAGGAAGAAGCCAGGCTGACAGGTATAAATCAGTGTATATCCATGAGATGGAAGGTCCATCCCTACTACATTTGCATGAGCAGGAGTTTCTGGCTGTTTACAGCTGTGGGCTATATTTAAAAAAGACAACAATGTAAATTTTCTATAGATATGTTAAGAAAATTTTGAGACAGGAGTCACAATACATTTTAGACATACTTCAATATCTTTATATACATATATCTTTGAATAATTATTCTAATAAATCACAAAAATGTTTCAATGCAAATATACTTATTGATTTCATACTTTAGCATTTCCTAATCCACCATTTGTGGAATACTAGTAGATGTTAAATAAAATGAGAAAAAAAAACACATTGTCAATAACTAAACTCACAAATTTATGCTTTACCATTTTAGATAGTCACACATTCTAGAGAGTCACAACAAACTTCAGCATTTCAAAGGATCTATGAAGGTAAGATACTTTTTAATGTTTGTCAAGCTCAGGTTTTCTATATGAGTTCAGAAAATATTATTCTATGAATTTTAGATTTATTATACTTATTTTAAATTAAAAATCTATTTTCTATGGTTAAATAACACCACAGCTAATTATATTGCTTTGGTATTAATACTTCCTAATAAAAGTACATTTTAATAATTGTTTTACATATGGAATTTTCAGGACATATTTGGATCCGTACGCTAGAAGTATCATTTTATTCACCTAATTATCTCCTTTTCTCCATGTTTCCTTCCACTCCTTATTCTCTACCTTGATTACACTATATCTTCCCCTTATTTCATTGGTTTTATGTCTTCTAAAGACCATTACTTTCTCAGTCAGAGATAAATGCTACAAGAAACTTTTCCCCTAAAACAGATAGCATTTTTAAATAAATTCCTATTGTGTTAAGCTAGCCAGCATAACTTCGTTATGAAAGTACCATAAATAAGAGATCTATAAAAGTGATCTCTGAAAAAAGTGTTCTGTGGATAAATTTTAGAAAGCAATACTTTTCATTTGTTTCTTAATGGCAGTCCATAACGGTATAAATAATAGCTGACATTTTTTTACTCCATGGGCCAAACATTGTGTTAAATGACTTTTTGTTTTTGTTTTTGTTGTTTTTGAGATGGAGTTTCACTCTGCTGCCCAGGCTGGAGTGTAGTGTCACAATCTCAGTTCAATGCAGCCTCCACCTCCTGGGTTCAAACGATTCTCCTGCCTCAGACTCCCGAGTAGCTGGGACTACAGGCACCTGCCACCACACTCAGCTAATTTTTTTGTGTTTTTAATAGAGATGGGGGTTCACTATGCTGACCCAGCTGGTCTCGAATTCCTGACCTCAAGTGATCTGCCCACCTCGGCCTCCCAAAGTGCTGGGATTACAGGCATCAGCCATCGCGCCCGGCCAATTTTTGTATTTTTAATAGGGTTCACTATGCTGACCCAGCTGGTCTCGAATTCCTGACCTCAAGTGATCTGCCCACCTCGGCCTCCCAAAGTGCTGGGATTAGGCCTGAGACACCGTGCCTGGCCTAAATGGTTTATATTTACTATAATTCAGTTAGTGAAATGTAATCCTCCTGCAGTAAGTATTGATTAGGAAAACTACAGTCTGTCTCTACTGCCTTCTTAAGCCCTATGTTGTGGACATGTTAGAAACTTTGAGATGCTTTGCAGTAACAGACGCTGTTTAACTTTATTTAAACTATCATATCCCAACTGGAGGACATCAAAGAACCATGGTTTACTATGAAACTCCTAGTTACAGCCCACACAGCTGTTTTAAGGTACACATTCTGAGGAATTCTCTTTTAAGGAATTTTCCACATTTAAATATAAGCCAACAAGGCACATAACATGGAATCTCTGTGGAGTGTTCTCCTGCTTTAAAGTAAGCCGCTGGTCCCTAGGTGCCCCCACAATCATTTGGATGGTTCTGAACAGGGATAGAGTAAATTCACTGGGTTTGTGTAGGCTTCAGCAAATCCTAAAAGCTAGACACCATCCTAATAAATGTTTCCACCCCAGCTTACTTTTTTTCCATTTTTCACCAAGAAACACAATTCAAAAGATAAGGGAGTAGATTTTTTAAAAAGACAACTGGAGAGAAAGAAAAGCCAAATAGCTGACCAGCTGGAATTCATTTCTAATTGTATGTCAGCAAAAGTTATTTAGTGACCCCGGGCTTTGTTCTTATTTAATCTGTATAGGAAGTGCTCTCCACTTAGGATCAGAGAACATATAAAGGAAATTCGAAAATTGTTTTCAAATTTGTGGCCAAGTGCCCATGAATATTTCCTTTCATATATGTTTCTAGTTTCTTTACCATTTTAGATAGTCACACATTCTAGAGA